AACATTCCACTTCCACACCGCTATAATCTCGCAACGGAGCTCTATAGCTGTGTGCTTTGTTACTTGTGCTGTATTAACTACAGTCCACCTGTAACAATATAAATAAAACGATCTTATTGGGTTTAATCACGTGATGTAATATAAATTTTGTAAATCAAAGAACTGTTTCATAGACTTGAACCAGACTAAAAAAAGCTATTGGACCGGTCCTTTATGGGACTGATTCATCTCTAACCAGCACAAAATAAGTAAAGCCATCTATCAACCACTATCAACCCTATTTAAATTTTGATTAGAGAACCGGATTTGCAGGGCATAAGGGTAGTTGTTGTAGCTAGGTTGTAACTTATATAAAAAATAATTTTTTATCAGTTATCAGTTATATAGTTACATTCTAGTTACGATCTTATTACGTAAATATGTCTGCACCTTTAGGTGAAACCGTGAATTAGTAAAATCCACTATGTAGATCACATGATGGTAAAGTTCGCTTTTGCATAATAAAAAAAACGCACACCTGCGTGTTAATTAATTGACCTGCGCGTTATTTCGAGTACGCGCATGTGCATTATTTCAAAAATAGGTTAAATAACCATCCCTTAAAAGTAATAAGTATAATAAGAAATAAGAAATGCATCAGACTGGTTTAGTCCTTCCTCGATACTTTGACAAAAGTTGTTCTCAGATTGAGACGATTCTAACAGTGGTAAAATAATCAAAAATGACCCATAGATCGTCCGCAATTACACTTCATTCTAAAACGCTTGTTTACATAAAAACAAACGGTTTAAAATTTCGAAGAGTCATTGCGGACGATCTACTGGACTGTTCTTGTTGATTTTACCACCGTTAGGATTGTTTCAGTATGAAGAACAACGTTTGTTAGAGTATAAAAGAAGGTTTACTTAGTACCAAATCCAGTTCTGGCACACCTTTTACTTTTATAAGAGGATGCGCGTTGATTCGGAACGCGTATGGACGTTAATTCGAAGCTGCATATCTATTTTTGAAGGTCCTGATTTTCAAAATAACGCCCACGGGCGTTATTTCGCGTTTATACGGTAACGTGATCTACGTAGCAGATTTTACAATTTACAACGCGGGTTTAACCAGTTTTATGATTTTTTATTTTATTTTTTATTTATTATTATTTTTTTTGAATTTTCAATCGTATATTTTTGATGATGTTATTAAAGGATATTAATGCTACACATTTATTCTATAATGAATTGATATTTGTCACTTTCTTCATGAATTATTGAAATTATAGATAAAGAGAAAGAAAAAACAATTTATATAATGTATAATATTAAACTCTTAACAATAAATATATGTACCAAACAATTGTTTTTTTTTACAATCCAATAATAATGAAAGTTGCAACACCCGCTAAGGCGATCCCAGCACTAAATAAACCATTTACTCTAAGATCACTAGCACTACTTTTTTTATTTCCAGAAGGATTAATAGTTGTTCCATTACCAAGAGTTTGCGGCTTATATGTTACTTTATTCAAATCTGCAACAACGCTAAGCACGTTTACATTATTTTGACCCTGATCATAAAAGTCGACAGCAACGAAGTTTGGAATTTTCCCGTCAAAAACTCTAGTACAGTTTTGAACATGCTTAGCAAGATTATCACTATTAGTTGAGGAGGCATTGTTAGGTAGGGGAAGTTCGACACCATTGAGTACGGCAGCATAGAGGAAATGATTCACCAAGTACAATTGTTGAGGTTGATTTTTTGGACGGTCAACGGTACATTGCCATGCATTAGGATTAGTGTTTTCAAATGGAGTTTCAAATACGTAAGAATATTCGGGCATTAACCTGTAAACAAATATATAAGTTAGCAAGAAATAAACATAATAAAACCATTATACAGTATAAACTATATTCGTACCATGGAACGGTATTAATATTAGCGTTCTTGTCAATAAAGTTAATAACCCGTTTTCCAGATTGAATAATCTCTGACAAAGAAGGCCATGTTTCACCAACAGGTTGTGTGAAGCAGTACTGAGTCAGATTTGCTTTATCATACTCAGCTTTGTATCTAAGTGGATCTATATTATCATAATTTTCCCAAAAGATTGTTATTACTTCATTCGGATTCTTTTGCAAAAAACTTGTAATGTTTTTCAAAGTATTTGCAGCAGTTCCTGTATCCAATAGATTACAGAGCGTATGACAAAGTTCAATATCAGATCCTTTCGTAGAGTTGTGTCCATCAAGAAGGAAAACTCTAATACCATCCTTTAACTGTGTTGGAATGTCATAGTTTTGAGTTGCCGCGCCAACACCACCATATGCATATGAGTTATGTGTTGCAGCAAACGCTACTTGGGAATAGGACCTGCTACATAATTCCGCATATCCATTGCAATCCTGTGTTTTCGCTAAAGGAATGAAAATTATCGCAATGAGAGGAAATAAGAATGATAGCTTCATTATTATTGACTGAAGGTTAAGGTTGTGTCCGTTCGGATAATTTCTTAATATAGCAAAGTTTATGTATTATGCGCTTTTACCATAACAAATTTACTAATAGCAATTTTTCGGTTACTTCGTTTTTTTTTTAATGACTAAACTTAGAAGTAAGACGGTTATTTGCTGTGTCAAGAGCCGATCGTATGAGTTTTGCAAGGTTTACCCGACGGCTACAAATTTAATAATGACAGCTTATTTCGATGAAGTTTAGGTGCGTTAGAACGCAAATGTAGATAAAGATGAAAAATGTAAAAGATATTAAAAACTGGTCAACAGTTTTTTTTATTTTTTATTTTTATTTGAAAGGTATAATACATGTTAATATATGTGCGTATCGGATACCCTATCGCTATAACTCGAGTGTTCCAATGTTTCAAATAAGGCAAATTGTAAATGAAACAAATTAAATTTCGGTTTCACATGGCCCCTGAATATCCCTTTTGATGAGTTCTATGTTTAGATCCGAGTTTAATATACGCAACAATAATTATGTACTTGGCATATTTTATTATTAATATAGTATATGGTATACGGCGTGACAAATAAATGCCATTTTTTTTTTTAAAACATAATTTATATGTGTTATGCACACATCACATCGGGTATGATTGAGAAACGTGACATCGACCCTAAGCTATTAATAGATATATTGGTCAAAAATGGGTTACTTTTGCCCAAAATCGAATATTCTCTCGAAATTTCCTTTTTCAGTATCTTCTGATCTGTCTATGAAAATGTCTATGAATAGCTCGGGTCCTGTGACATTGAAACATTGTTTATTGTAATTCTTGAAATCCTTAAAGATTTCTGGGGATAATAGTTACATATAAGACAAATTAAAAGTGAACAGTATAATTTAGGCCTACCGAAAAATCAATTACAATTAATTTTTTTCATAAATCATGCAATTAAAATCAATTAAAATCAATTAAAATCATCAAAATTAATTGAAATCCAATTAATGACGAAATAAATGCAATTAAAATCAATTTTCTTTCATTATATCACGCGTAAAGCGTTGCATACAGTACTTTGTGTGACATACTTTTTTAAACAGCGAAAAATTAAAAACCACATTTGACGGCGATGTAAGCTAATTAAGTAAAATTGCAATTAATTGACTCATTGTGGCTGCGCCACCAACAATTGAGTTCAAAAATTTCAATTAATTGCCCCAACAATCAATGATTCGGTTGGCCTGAGTATAATACTGTAATGATCATTATTATATCAATACTTAGTGAAAATAATAACGACTAATCTTTGCTTTACTTATTTGTGCCGAATACAAAAACCTAAAAAGAAAACAGTTAGTCAGTGAGTTCAAATTTTGGTCATTCCGACATGAATTCCGAACACGTGAGAAGGAAGAAAAAGTCTAAATCGACCTTGGTGCACTAATTAAAAATGACGGGATCGAAATTTTACATATAATGAATAACCTCTAATCAGAGTTGGCATTGGAGCAAATGATGCTCAATGGTTATGCGAATGGTACCCAAAAACTAATACCATTGGCTCCATTCAGAACTCCATTGGCTCATTCACAGCTCCATTGGGTCCATTGAACTCCATTAGCAGCTCCATTGGATCCATTGCCCAACCCTACCTCTAATGTTAACGTCCTAGCCCCAAATTTCTATCTTATTTACAAAAAATTATATTCCTTTTTTGGGTTGTATTACCGGCATATAAAATAAGTTAAAACTGTTTTTGGAGTATAATTAAGTATAATACGTACGTACGTATAATACCAAGCAATGCAAGACTGCGTGTGCATTACTTCGCATTCCTGCACGCGATATTTTATTATATACATGTACGTACATTATTTCGAAATAAAGCTTACGGGAAACTGGGCCACGTTCCAAAATGTTGGTCACAGGATAAATTATCATGTGACCAACATTTTGGAGCGTGGCCAAAATTAACTTCCAAAAAAAAGCCCGTTTAGGTCCGCGGGCCCCACCCTACTTACTACGTAGGGAAAATATTCACTTCAGGTTTTCTTTTTGCAGATTTGTATATAATTTATTTTGCCAAACTTGGTTCAACTTAGCTTTATATATAAATACTTATCTGCATAAATGATTTAACTGTTAATAATCGATTGAACAGTTGGACCGTTAGAATATTTTTATAACAGCTATAACAGCTATAACGGTAATAACCAGTGTTGGCAAATAGAACAATAGAACAAAAGCTCAATTTTTTTGTCTTCATATAAAAAAAAATTTTTATTAATAATTTGCAATTATTTAAACATATATTGTTAGAACATTAGTA